CAACCTGAGTGGTCAAGTCTTCGCCAAGGTCGGCGATTGAAGATGAAAGCTCGGAAAGAACCCAATCCCCATCTATCTTGATCAAGGTGGTGCGGTAGGCGAGACCCTCGTAAGGCAGATACAAGCTCAAATCGACAAGGTGCTTTGAAGTGAGGCTCGTGGCATGTACACCTGGGGCAATCTCCTGAAAGAAGTCTGTGCTGCGGATAAGGCGGTCAAGCAAGCCAGTCAAGCGCACCTTAATAACCCGAACTGCAGAGGGGTGAGGCTCCTGGATAGAGCGTATGACGCCCTTGCACACAAGAGTGTTGTTGCTGAAACCCACAGGGATCCGCGCTCCATGACACGGGCTGGTCAGGCACATTCCAAGATCATCAAAGTCAAGAAACCTCCAGCCCTGCTTGAGCAATTTGCCCGTGGCCAGAATCGGCTGAGAAACTGGCGACACAACCCAGCGCTCCTTCAGCTCGACTCCAGAAGCTTCCAAAGTGGCCAATCGGCTGCCCTTGGTGTGAATCGTGTTGCCCTGGCAGTCAACAAGCGGTGGCTCACCTGACGCATGAGACCCAACACACACGAAGTCAAGAGGCAGACATGACTCATCGGCGGCTGTGTCGACACAGATCTCCAACTGTTGCTCATAGCTGTGACGGCTGACTGCAGCTACACGCATGGGTGACGAAACAGGGCTGAGATCCCAATCGCCATCATGGTCACTGCTAGCTATGTCAAACTCTGCAGGACAGCCACTGGGCACACATCGGACCAAAGTGGACTCAACGCGGCCTATGGACAGATCTGACTGGCACGGCTCATCCGAAACTGCACAAGGATCTGACTGGCACGGCTCATCCGAAACTGCACAAGGATCTGACTGGCACGGCTCATGCGAATCTGCACAACGAATCGCTCTAACACTTGAGGAGGAAGCGGGATCACCAGGCATAGCACGAATGTCAAACATGATGCGCTTCACAGCTGCTTTGGCGGCTGCCTTGGGCGACGGTGATCCTTGATCTCCACCAGCAGCAGCATCATCCTCAGTGATGGCACGTACCTTGCCCGCAGCAAGGTCAGCTTTGTACTTTCTGCAATCTCTCTTGTAGTGTCCTTTCTTGTGGCAGTAGTGGCATTCGGCATCGGGGGAGGCCTTAGGTTTGGCTTTCGGCTTACCCTTAGGGCTGGGGGCATCCTTAGATTTTCCCTTATCACCTTTGCCTTTCCCTTTATCCTTCCCTTTCTTGCCTTTGCCCTTATCCTGACCCTTGATTTGGGCCACGGAACCTTCTTGGTCCACTTCCATGGAAGCACTGCCTTTGTTGGGACTGACAAGACCAAGCTCCTGCTGCACTCGCGCGGCACTCCAATTAGTAGTACTTACTTCATACGACAGCACAAGGTTCTTTACGTCCTCATAAGTCGTAGAAGCGTCCATTCTCAAGTGCACGTGGGATTGCAGGGCTTTGGGGATGGCTCTAAGTACAACTGACAGCTTGACATCACCAGGAAGTGCATTGCCAGAGGCCTTCTCATACTCGGCGATCAGCCGCTCGAAGCTGTTGAGTTGCTCACGCAGCGTTCGGTCACGCGTGAATGCTGGAAGCCCCATCACTGCACTCAGCAGCGCGAGCGACCTGGAGCGCGTCCTCGGGCTAAATTGGCAGGTTAACTGCCGCCAGCATTCAAACCCATTGCGATCTTCAATGCCGCGGTGTATTGCAAGAGGCCTCCCTTTCAAGACAGAGCCTAGAATCACATACAGCTTCCTAGCCCTTTCAAGACAAATGGGTGGCATATTGGCAATGTGAGGCACTTCAGTCAAGCGTTGCTCTACTTCTGCTAGATCGCTCTCATAAGCAGGCTCTGCAAAGGTAACCCAGTTACGGAAACTGGTGGACCAGGCTAGCCAGCCCAGCGCATCCTGATCGGCATTCTCAGTGCCAAACGGCTCGGGATATTTGAGAACCTTGTTGGCTAAAGTAAAACCCCCACTATTGTCAAGAGGTGGCTTGTTGGCCGCTGCACTCTGCTGAGACACCATCATCAGAGTCTGCTGCGCAGTCTGAGCAAGCGACATCACCATCGTCTGCATAGCCTGCATGTCAGCAAGCTGTGGCCCTGGAGCCTGTGGGAAGGGACCTGCAGGGAACCCCGGCACTTGCGACGACGAAGCAACCTGCGGCGGATCTCCAAGGTCGTCATCATCATCATCATCCAACGGCACATTCGGTGGCTGTGACACCGGACTTCCATGTGCAGACATTTCTGCAACAGTGTGGTATTGGGCTCGTAAACAAAAATCAAGATAGGATCACAAAGGCTGATCAATCAAGGTCAATGCAATGCGTAGCTCTCCTAAGCCGGTGCTTGAAGACGTTCCTACCTACAACAAACCCAAGGGCAAAGGTCCTCCCTGCTGCCCAGTTGTTGAAGCGGATGCACTGCTGATCACTCAACACACGATTAGCCAATCTGGTGACCTGAGACAAGGAAGTCGCGGCCTCAGCAGTTGCTTTGTGCCTTGCAAGATAAGCTGCTTGCCTCTTGCGGAAAGAGAAGACGCTCAGACTCGGAGTTCGTACTTTAGCTGCAAGCTGCAACCGAAGCAGATGCAAGAAGCGGGCTTTCGCCTGACTGAGCAAAGGGTCCTTGTCCCACGCGAGCACAAGGGGAGCGGCCGTGGCTGCTACGAGCTACCCAGCTACACTTCGCCGAAGAAAAGAAAACACCAAAGTCAAGGACAGGTTTCCGCACGCTGGCCCCCGAACAGAGAACCAACAAGAACCCCGACGTGAGAAGCACTGGTCGGCCAGTGCTCCGCTACCATGAATGTTTTCACCCTTGAAACAAAGCGCCTGCGATACGACATATACTCAGCACACATGCAATGGCGGCAAACTTGCATGACTGGAAAATCAAAAGAGAGAATAGGAAAAATGTTTCACAAAACCTACTCCTCAAAACTACAAACTCCTTCCTTCCTTCCTGGGTGCAGGTTACGTAAAACACAAGCAAAACAACACATGTGTCGTGGGTAGTGGAAGGCCGGTGCGGTGACGCGCCTGATCATGCAAGTTTGCGAGTTTCCGCACTGAGTCGATGGCCTTCTCACAAAAGCCTAAGGAACCTTTGGCACCTATAGCAGGATTCTGCACGAGTGTTTGCAAACCGAGCCGTTGCCGGGCCGTGACGATGGCACGCTGAAGAGTCAAAGTGGAGGGCTCGTTGTCACACTTCAAAGTCACAGTGGTGTGACCGAGGCTCTGGATGAACCTCATAAGCTCAATGCCTAAATACCTCGTATCACCTTTGGACTCACAAGGAATCGCTGCGATCATTCCAGTTGCGCTGTCGTGCGCCACAAGACACTTGAGTGCACGCTGGGAGTCCTCAGGAGCAGCATCGAGGTTGCAAATGCCGTCCGGCAAACTGTAGCCCGAAAATGAAAAATCAAATTGGACAATTGGATTGTCGCGGGGGCCCTCCTTCAAGTACTCACTCCGGTCTGGCACGGCCCGCATGCTGATGCAGTGTGGGCACCACGGCTTGAAAGGCAGATGCGTGCATTCGTGAAGGAACCGTTCCGCCTCGGTGGGGGCGGTTGCGAGCGGCTGAACCCTTGGTTGCCTCTCACCTGAAGACTGAGCATCGGCAGCAAGCTCCAACTCTAAGGCCAAACGCTGCTTCTCAAGATATCCCTTGACACGAGTGAAGAGACGGGACTTGGAGCCGGCCGTGCTGAGGTTGAGCTTGGCTGCTGCAGTTTTCAAAACAGCGAGGCTGGAATCATGCGAAATGAGCACACCATCAAGACTCAGCGGCTCGACATTGCCGGCTGGCACTCCAGCTTCCAACTGGTCGGGCAGTCGGGCAGTGGCATTGGCGCTGGGCTCGATTGTCCAGCTGCATCCTCAAGGCCTTGCAAAGCCTCATCTTCAGGCACCACACGATCATGCTCAACTGTCCCGACAGGCGCTTGCTCAGTCTCAGCTCGAAAATGATAAAAATCTGGCTCTGGCAAACCTTGGGGCTCAGTCATGCCAGCTGCACACCTATTTCACAAACTGGCTCAACCTGCACGTGCAAAAATGAAATAACTTCGGCAACCTGACCTCCGGGCAAAACTACGGCTTCAACCTCCTTCAAGTCAGCCCACGGCACGCAGTGTTCAAGCAGAAACCATGTCCCACTGCGGCAAATGAGAGTGCTCCTGAGAGGCCAGCCGATCGGTGCCATGGCACTCGGATCCACGAACCTACTTGTGCGGCCTCTCCACACCAGGTGCCCAGACGTACTGACTTGCCATCCGAAATCAAGGGACTCCAGTGTCTTAGCATCAAACCGCACCTGGATGGACGCAACATGTAGCTTGCTAGGGCACACCTCATGGACCTCACCTGTGGCTTGAAGCTGGGACTGACTGCACACGGCATCACACACCTGTTGGCTGTCGGCATCACGGACCTGTTGGCTGTCGGCATCACGGACCTGTTGGCTGTCGGCATCACGGACCTGTTGGCTGTCGGCATCACGGACCTGTTGGCTGTTGGCATCACGGACCTGTTGGCTGTTGGCATCACGGAGTCCTGCGTGAAGCTCGCCTTCGCTAGCCTCATCTTCAGAGTGATTGTTGAACGACCTCACCTGCACCTGGATTGCAGTGCATCAAGTCTGGCTCTTCACGCTCTACACGGCGAATCTGAGCGTTCACTGCAAGGGAGTAGCCTGTGAACAGCAAGGGCACTTCGGCGCCACTCCGCGGGTGGCGCAAGCACATCGAACCTGCGCCTGCATTGTCACCTTGGCCTTGGCGAACGGGCCACCATCCTTTGCGCATGAGCCGTCCAAGGCTCAACAGTGGTTGCGTGACGTTCGCAACAATGCACCGCTCGCGAATCACAACGTTATGGGCTGAGTGATGCAAGTATAGCAAGGCAAAGGCAAGCCCAAAGGCGATACAGGCAAAGGCAAAGGCAAGGAAGGCAAGAACAAAGGTGGCCATGCAAAGCGCAATTGGCCCTCCGTGTGTGGTTGGTGCCAGAAGCCGGAGCACTACAAGAAGGACTGCTTCCAGTTCAAGGCCTACATGCAAGGGCCATCAGAAAGGTGCCCGGCAGGTTCAGGCCAACTCTTCTACAGCTTCCAAAGCTGGCACGACTGCCCCGTTTTCTGCGAGTGCCCTTCAAGTCCAGCAAGGTAAGGCAGGACAGTCCACCGTTCGCCGTGTTGCAGCTGAGCCACTGCTTTTCGATATGTCTGACCTGGAGGATCCGTTTCCTCATGAGCCCAATTATGTCTGTATGATTGCTGTGACTGCGCCACAGAGCTTTGCAATGGATGCCCAGGATGATGACGATCAGTGGACTCTGCCTCTTGATGATTATGCTGTGCTTGACTTGGTGCCGAGTGCTTCGAAGGTGGTTGTTGCTGACCGGGTGAAAGTCACTGGTGCTGAGAATGGTTTGCGCAAAGCACTGGAGGAGACCTGGGAGGCTCGGCACATCTTGTATGCACATTCTCAACATGAGCCAATCGATGAGCAGTCACTCAAGTCAGTGCCTCAACAGTCCACTTGCTCGGCGTTGGGCTTATGTGTTTGCATGGGTCGTGGTTTGGAGGCAGATTGTTTTGCACAGAAGCTGCGGGCCTTCATTAGGCCACTTGCTTGGGTGAAACGACGGAAGCGGGACAAGGTCACAAAACAGTTCACAGAGGCACCGCATCCAAAGCCACACTTGAGGCAACTCCTGGACAGAGCAGAGCTCGAAGCAACACTGGTTTGCCACTTCGTGTCATCAGAAATGACTACGTGACTACATTCGCATGCTGGCGCAGTTGTCCTGTCAAGCAGCTGAGAAGCGTGGCCATCTTGTTGTTCTCGGGAAGTCCGCCTGGCTCGAGGCGTTCATACTCACACTCCTCGAAGGCACACTCTCGAGTCGCAGCAGTTGCTGAGCAAGTCCTTGTTGGGCCGCAAAGAACGGCCAGCTGTTGATTGTTCGCAACAAAGCTGAGACGCGATTGCGAGTCTTTGGCATAAGATCCTTGCTGAGAAGTCTCCAGGCCTCAAGTCCATTCTGATCCTGAACAGATCGCAGCAATCGCCTGCCGCGCTTATACAGAGGCCATTCAACATGCCGTATAGTGGCCAAGACCGCCTTGGCACTCGCGTCCAAAGAACTCAAGATCACTGCTGTCTGCTGCCGGCCATAATCACAAAGCTCACTCATCACGCGTAGTGGGCTGGAATGGATCAGGCTTCGGCAAAACCTTGGTAAGGTCTCCAACTCCATAGGTCGGGAACCTTGAGCAGTGCTTGCAAAAGCGGTGGCTTGAGCAGCCGCACTGGCAGCTTGCGCGGCCTCTGACATGCGTTGCATAAAGAGTTTGTCGGCGTTGGCTGTGCAAAGGCGCAGAACCAAATGGTTGCGCTGAGGCGGTGGCTCCAGAGGGGCCTGTAATCCCCCATCTGTCTCATCACCAATTCGCCATTGCTCTGTAAATCAGGGCAATCAATCAATATCAATCACCTCCTTGCAACTGTTCAAACAAAGATTGGCACCAAAAAATGTGCGTCGGAGCCTTGCAAATCAATCGGCTAGTCCGGAGGAGCCTGCAGTTCGGAGAGCAGCCTCACTCGAAGCAGCACCTGTAGAAAAACTGAAAGCTTCCACCGGTAGGCAAAGTCCCACACCTGCTGAGTAGTCTCCAGAGAAGCCAAGTTCGCCTCCAACGTTGGGCGGTACTCAAGATGTTCTGCCACCCTTCCAGCGGATCTGCCAGCCTGTGGCGCTATGCCCACTTCGATGCACGGGACTGTCGGACCCAAGTTCTGATCAATCACTTAGTGGCACAGGAAGCTAATCAGGGGTTCTGCCCGACGGTAACCAACCGCGGTATCGCCTCGGGCACACGTGGGGACAAGACGAGTGGAGTGCAGCGGCCCATGCTTCATCAAGCAGAGCGGACTTGGTCCTGGCATCCAGCTCCGTTTCATTTCCAATGAGCTTATGTCGCATCTTCATGAGTCTGTTCGACGGAACTAGAACGGCGGCCGGACGATCGCTGAGGACCTGTAGCAAGTGCTGAACGGCCAACTCCGGCAAAGTCTGGGCACCGCAGCAAGCTCCGCCTTCTCTAATTGAGTTTCTTGTTTCACCGCTGTTTTTGTTGTTTGGTCGTTTGCTGTGCAGAAAGTGTTCCAGTTTTGATGTTTCGGTCCAACGTTCGAACGAGACAAGCTGGGACGCAACACGTCTTTACCAGAAAAACTGTAGTCTTGTCCAAGTTGAGAAGTTGGAGAGCTTGAAAGAAGAGAACCTGCAACCTGCTCCGGGAACACATACACTGGACTAGAAGCAAGACACAAAATTTATGCAAAGACACGACTTCTGCACAAATTGCAAACTTTGCAAAGTACCTTCTGGCGTCGTGTTTGGCGAGATGGACGCTTTCATGTGTTTTTGGTGCATTCCTGGCTCTCAACGTCTGCAACTGTTGAACATCGCAGCCGAGCTACTCTTGTTAAAATCCACGTTCTTTTGAAGGCATGTTGCTGCAACACGACATGCTGCGTATCATGGACAAAAATCGAAGGTTTGAGAGATTATGTCGTTTGAAAGACTCTGTCTCTTGTTGGAAGAGCTAACCGTTTACCAGCTCAGCAGAAACGAGCCAAAAGATCAACGAACAAGTAAATTCTCCATGCAATTTTTGCTCTCCGCCACTGCTCGAGCCACGGCTGCGGTAAAAGTGGAGAGATTGGAAGATCCACGCAAACTCGTCCTCCAAGCTGCGCCGTTGGACGGGTCATAGCAGCTCTTCGGCTGGTTTTTTCCAGACCACGCGATCTTTTTTGCTTTTTGTTGGACATCCACGGTCCAAAAAAAGACCTTGATCTTTTTTTTCGGCCCCAAGCAGAGGCCAGAAAAAAGACAAGTTGGAGGCCGGAAAAAAGATTTTTTGCCGTGTGTATTCTTATTTTCTTTGCTTTTGCCCACTAAAGCGATATCGTGTGGCTTCTCCTTCCATTGTGTTGGAAAACGTTTTTTGGATGTTTTTTCGATGACACACTTTGATTTCTTTCGTTCGCTTTCAGCCCCGAAAAGCGATTTCGTGTTTCTTCTTTGTGTGTGTGTGTGAGAGAAGTTATAATATGGTTAAGTTAGGTTTTGTGCAGTTTGTGTTGCAAAATTCATATTGTGGCGCTCTTTGCTGTGTTCTTCTATCTTTGTAGAGGTCAGAAAAAAGACATTAGAGGCCCAGAAAAATATCCACCGGGGTCCGCAAAAAGACACGGGGTCAGTTACGAGATATTTCGGGGCCGAGAAAAAGACGGCTTGAATCGTGGAGTGGAGGTCGAAAAAAAGATCGTAATCTTTTTCTAGACCTCGTCGCGGGGCTGAAGAAAAGATGGAGGTCGGAAAAAAAAACATGCCGGGGCGAAGTCAAGATGGACCAAGCGCGGGGTCTGAAAAAGATATTTCGGGGTCGAAAAAAAAAGCAGCCCAAAGGCAGCTCTTTATCCGCGCCAGGTCACGCCGTCTGTGCTGCATGACCTAGGTGCCCTCAGCTGCCTTCCGCCACACCTCATCGATGCACTCCGCTCGGCTACGGCTGGCTCATTGACGCAATGCACGGGAGCAGTTCGCGATTGGATCATCCAGGAAGTGCGCCTTCGGTGCTACGATGATGACCAACCTGTCAGTCTTCCTCTGCCGGCACCAGTCCAGCATGCCCTTGGAGAGCTGTCTCTCAAGCGTGTCGTGGACTTTTTACACTTCCATGTGTACAGCCAAGGAGCTGCTCTGGCGGGCAGGAGAGTCGGCGAATGTCGCACCAGGACACAACGCGGACTTTCCAGACGCCCCTCCGGGTCAGTCTGCGCGTGGAGGACCGCCTCAGCTTTGGCACATACGTGCTTGGCTTATCCTGCCCCAATCCGCCCTCGTTGGCGCCAAACACCGGCTGGTTCTCCCACCGCCAAAGCGGCAATAGGCCTCCCTCGGAGGGCTGCCTCCTTCGGTTGGATTTTCGCCAAGCACAGCTCCTGGCTGTCTTTGTGGAATCGGTGGTCCCAAAAAAGGTCAACGGGAAAACGCCAGCGGCGCGTAAGGTACAGAGACGTCATAATCGCCTTAACCCTACAGCTGCCTGCATTCTAGTGAGTAAATGGCCCGCTTTCTTGGGGGCAGAGCCCCTGGCCGGTGGAGTGCATCATTGGGAGTACCCCCTGCGCAGCCTGTCGTGCATAAAGGTGGGCGGGGCACTCGATGTTTTCTTGCAGGTCCTGAAAATGCCAACAGCTCGGGTGCCACCTGCTATCGGTATGCCTGTCCAAACTCACACGCTGCCCGCGCCGCGGCCACAGTGTCACTTTGCGGCCGAAACACATCTTGTGCTCACACTCCTGCAGGTTGTGGAGGCTGCAGCGATGGTGCCGCGTTTCCCGCCGACCCCGGATATGATGACACCGGCGCAATATGTTGTCTTCCGCAAGCGGATTCTCGACTTCCGCTCCCTGGCGGAACGGGTCAACCCGCGGGATGCCTTCCACCGCGATTGGAGACTCAGCCCTGCGCTGATTCCGGACGAGTTCCACACCCTAGCCGCTCTTATGGGCGAGGCCTTCTGTCGCCACATTGCCGGGCGGCTGGCCAGCCCAGATGGCCTCCTTATTGGACACATCACGGCAATTTTGGCGGCGCGAGCCACCAAGCGCAGCTCTTTAGGTATCCTTGGGTGTGCTGGATCCTCCAAAACGTTCTCCTTGTGGTGTGCGCTGGTCTGCCTTGATGCCGTGTTATAGAGCAAAATGTGTGTTGGACTGCTCAGCAACACTCTGCTCTCATTGCGGTCGTGCGCATCGCTACCAATCTTTTGGCGGATGCGCCTCAATGGCTCCGTCCACTGCTCGTGGTTCGGCGTGTCTCCGGCGATGCTGAAATGATTGAGCCGGACTTGGATCATGTGCCGTTCACGGAGGCGGCGGAGCATGGCGGCAAGCTTGGGCGGATACCAGAGGCCGGGACACACGTCGCGCCTCTCCGTCCATCGCAAGCACGCATATGCTTCTGCTCACACAAGGCTCTGGCGCCCTACAGTTGAGGTATTCGTCCTACAACGAGGTGAAGGAGTTCCTCAAAAACGCGCATGTCATTGTCATTGACGAGGGACAGCAGGAGGGCCTCCCGGCGTCGGCCGCCATCCTGGCGAATGCGGACTGCCAGCTCGTCATCCGCACCGGTGACCCACGGCAACCCACAGGCAGGGGTAAAGGCGAGGTGCAGCTCCATACTCTGGCCCGCCTTACGGCAAAGCCGGTCGGCATTCGTGGACTCGCCCTGCTAGCTCCTCCCCCCTACCCTCCCGGGCGCATGCCTCACGCGCTCCGGGGCCTGGTGCAGTCCACCTCGCCCGGGGGGCCGCTCCATACTGTCCATTGGTCTAGCCTTGGCCATCGCTATGATGGCCATCATGGGGCGGAGCCCCCGCCGAGTACGACCCTCTGCTCTTCTATCTCGGAGTTCCTCTTCGGATCGGGAGACCCTGTGGAGGTGGGGCTTGTTGAGGATCTTTGTGACCTCCGGGGATGCTGCGTGAACCATCAGGGAGCGAAATACTTCGTTCCCTATTCTGGCATCGTACGAGTTGGCGATATGCTCTGTCCCCGCCCAGGGCGCCTTACTCCAGCCGCCATAGCCGTGGACTTCCTGCACCAGTCCTCCTCTCACAGCGAAGCGCTTCTGTGCTACAATACTTGCACCGGCTAATTCTGCTTTGCAAGCGGAAGGGCTCGAGCCCATCAATGGCG